ATTCGCGAGGCTCCTCGGGGGAACCCTCAAGAGGCTCAGCGAGTTGAGTTTTCCCGATGTAACGCCGTTTAAGAAGCCGACAGCGAAACCGTCTAGGCTTGTAGTAGGTCCAGCTGAGCCCGTCCTACAGCTTACGATCGACCCAGATGACAAAGAACATCTCCTGCACATTGCAAACGGTGTGTGGGGCTGTCGCGTTTGCGGTAAGACGGCAAAGAAACGTAGTGTGGTAGTTCAGAATGTATGCCCAGGAATCCCCAGAGTCTTAGCGAACGTGCATGAGTCTCATCGGATGTGGCGCCTGGGCGAATCAGATCTCTTTCATTGTTCCGTGTGCGGGAGACACGCGCGGCGGCAGGTCAAAGACTTGGCCGCGCGCTGCTCCCATCCCTCGGATGCAGGCGCGAGAGCATTGAAGATGCTCCGCAGAGGAGTGGACCCAACCAGCAAGAGGGAGGTTGGAGTGCCATTCCCAGTGCATTGAATTTGTTTTTTGCAGGCTATCTTTCGCTGAGGGATAGACTTGTCCGAGGCTCCAGAGGCTCCAAAGGCATGAGGAGGAGGAGGAGGAGGAGGAGGAGATGGAGGAGGCGTTGTCCTTCCATTTCGCATATCGGACCGCCGGACAGTCAACCACGACGCAGCACTGCCCGCGGGGAGTGAGTGAGCACGGCACGATCCTGCCGCACGCATCTCAGGGACCATGCCCCCCGCGGTGCCCAGAGTTGCGCCCACGCCCTCCTCCCGCATGCCTGCGGGGCCAGCGGCTTAGCTAGCTGTGGCGAGCTGCCGAGGACGTGGGCGTCCTCGCTACCCCCTCTCCACCTCGCTCTCCTCCCTGGCTTTCCCCTCCTCCCTCCTCCCCCTTCCTCCCTCATCCCTCCTCTCTCCCTCCTCCCTTATCCTCCCTCTCCTCCCTTCTCCCTCCCTCTCCTTCCTCCGCCCTCCTCCCTACTCGCTCTATCTTTGTATGTTGTTTATCATTCTGAGTACGTCATCCCTGTCGCACCCCGAGGCCAGTTGGAAGGGCGGACCGGGCTCTTCGCCTGAGAATTCCCTACCATTTGTGATCCTGAAACTTACGAGTTGGCAACAGCTTTGCAGATGGAGGGCGGACGCAACAGTTTCACAATTTTGGCAACAGTTTCGCAGCTCGCAAAATGGCAACAACTTCGCGAAACCTGGCTCTCGCCTTAGCGCCGCGCACATTCGTTTCAAACATTTGCAAGAGTTTACCGATTGATGGTGGGTCGTTTTCAAAATGTGGTTCTCGCCTTAGCGCCGCGCGCATTCTTTTAACATAATGGCAAGACGTTGACGGATTGAGAGCGGTTGGTTTTCAAAGTGTGTTTCTCGCCTTAGCGCCGCGCATCTTCGTGTGAAAAATTGCAGAAGTTTCAGAGATGGAGGGCGGGCGGTTTGCAACATATGTTTCTCGCTTTAGCGTCGAGCACATGCATTTTGAACATGCCAGAGTTTCACGGATTCCCATAGTTAACGCACCAGAAATTGTTTCTTGGAGCGGTTCAGGATTGTCAGGACGATACAACTACTTTGATTCGCCGTGTTGATCTCGCAGGAATAGTGTTCTCGCGCGGTTCAGGATCGTCAAGACGCACCTTTAACGGTGGTTCGCGGCGATGAAGTCCAGGAGTTGTTTTCTGGCACAGTTCAAGATTTTCACACCATTCTTTTCCGACAGGACATCCCATTCAGTGAAAATGATTCCCTGTAGGAGCCTATGAAGAGAAACATGGGTTTGCAGTGGACCGTTCCCCTCCTCCTCCTCCTCCTCCTCTTCCTCCTCATCCTCTCCTGCCTCTGTCCTCACTTCTCCTCGCTCCTCCTCCCTCCCCCCTCCACCTCTTCATCTTCCCTCCTCATTCCCCCTCGTAGCAAGGACCTTCCGGACGAGGTGCAGCCACATTCCTTCCTCCCCCACTTCCTCCCCTCCTCGTGGCGAGGCTCCTTCCAGAAGAGGCCCCTTCTCCTCCTCCTCCTCCGCCTCCTCTTCCTCATCCCCCTCCGCCTTCTACGTTAGACGAACATTCGGTGTGCTCCTGCTGCGTCCTTGAGCTTGTGCAAACGAAAGATACAGAAGCCCGACTCGGTGCACGAAGTACCTGGCGGGCGCCGCAGGAACAGCTGTAAGAAAAGGGCAGCGGCAAATGGAGAAGAAAGCGCAGGCGCCCGCCATGTGCTAGAGGTCAACGCGTAGCTTAGTATGAAGAGTCCCCGTACGCACACAAGTCTAGTAAGGTTATACAGCGGAGCCCCTTAATATTCAATGTTGCGCGCTGCCTTGCATCACAGGTAAACAGCAGGAGCAAGTCGTATGAAGTGAACTGGTATGAGCTGATGGGCCAACGCTGCAAAGAGTAACTTGAATACGCGGGTGAATAGAAGGCTGGCCTTCGAGTCTGGCCTGTGGATGCGACCCTCGCGTGGTGGGTGGCGATGCACGAAAAGACGTGGCAGATGGGCCGCCAAAGGCACAAGCAGAATCAATGTCTCCTCCTCCTCCAATGCCTACCCCCAATACAAAATGCATGGGTCCAGACGTGCAGCGCTTACGATCGAAGCGTGCAGCGCAGGCGACGTAAGAAAAAGAGGGACGGCGCTACGAGAGGAGGAACACTAGCAGGGTTTTTTGTTCGGAAGGCTGGCTCCATAAACGGCTGACCTGGTCGTTCCCCCTGGCAGGGTCAATGCCTAAAGACGCGCGGTAAAGTGGGGCCACTCCCTGTGAGTCAAGGGGTCCCCCGAAGAGAAGCTTTGGAGATCCATCGCACCTCCGTCACCTCTGCCCACCCCCAGGCCCAAATGCGCAGGTCCAGGCGTGCAGCACTGAAAAGCAACGCGCGCGGCACAGGCGACGTGGGAAAGAGGCGGTAAGATGAGAGGAGGAGGAGGAGGGGGGAGGAGAGGGAGGAGGAGGAAGAGGAGGAGGAGGAGGAGGAGGAGGAGGAGGAGGAGGAGGAGGTGGAGGGGGAGGAGGAGGGATAGAGGAGGAGGAGGAGGGAGGAGGAGGAGGAGGAGGAGGAGGAGGAGGAGGAGGGCTAAAGGCTGGCTCTGTAAAAAGGCTGGCCTGTGTAGTGCCCCCCGGTAGGAGCAATGCCTAAGTGCGCGCGATGAAGTGGGGCCACTCCTTGTGAGCCAGGGGGCCCCAAAGTAAGAGCAGCCTTGGAACTCGAAATGTGAAGCTAGAGGTGACGAGTGTGAACTTGGCGGCAATTCCCGAGCTGCTACCCAGGGCGTTTGGGTTTGGGTTTACCCCGAACCACCTGGACCTGGGGCCGCGTGCGTTTTGTCAATTCTTCCGGGGTTTAGCACGAACCCTTTGTGATTACTGACTGTAGGCTGGCGCGTCGGTGGCTGGCCTGGTAAACCCGCAGCTGCTGTATACGGTCCCGAAAGAGGCTGAGTAGGAGCCTTCGGGCAGGCTTGTAAAGTTGGCCAGTCAAGGATGGGGCTCGCCCTGCCAGTGGGCCAGGGGCCCCGAAATGTGGCCAGAGTGCGGCTCTTGAGTAGCCCGTGAAGCAGGGCCCTTCGCTGAAAACGAGTGTTCCTCTGCCTCCCCCATGCATGTTCTTTGACTGTTCGAACGATTCACTTTTGGTCGTTTGCACTGTCTGCACATGTTCTACTTCTGGCGCCCGTCTTGCGAAACTTGGAGAGCCGTGCACTGGCCCTTGCAAGGAGAAGACGACCGGTGAAACTTACAAGTATAGCCCGCACAGCTGGAACCAGATTTGTAAAGGCCTCCATCCAAAAGAGAAAGGAGTGACCATCTTACAAGACACTTTTAGCGTGCTGCCTTAAGCATGCAGCGCAGCGCTCGTGCTCAAAACAACTCCTAAACTCCCACCGACTTCCTTAAGTAGGGGTAACAGCGCTGGCAAGAGCTGATGTATGCGGCGGAGAGTTAAATGCAGGCGAGAGGTGGAGCGTGGGGATTTCAATAAGGAGGAGGTGCGGTAAACTCAGCTATGTGTGGTCGGTAGCCCACAGTGGGAATGTCAGGGCACTCCCCGACCGACGTGCCAATCTTGCAACTCGCTGTAGCTAGCGCAGGATGGAAAGCAGAGACGCGTTTGGGTGGGGACCTGTATGGACGCGAGCATCAGGGAAAACAGGAGTAGAGATCGTGAAACGTAGTGCCCTCATCGTCGCCGGCCCCTCGGCCTGCCGACGGGAGGAGGGAGGGGGGTGAGTCGAACGTGGATGTTCTGCGGTCGTCGGAGGAGAAGTGGGGCTTGCGGCCGATGTCGCGGTGGCACTTGCCCCGTGCTTCCGATGTGGCACGGATCTTGCCATCGTGTGGACTGGCTTGCTGCGGTGTGGGTTTCGGAAGTGCTTTGAAGATGAGTTGCAGCGTTCGAGATTTTCCCGACGATGATCGATGTTTTTGTGTGGAGTGCGGCCTAGCCTTGTACGGCGGTGCTTCCTTGAAAGGGATGTCTTGCTGGAGGTTGCGAGTGTGGATAGTGGCGAGGTGCTGCTCGTATCGTGCTTCGTGTGAGCGTACTGTGTCGATGTACTCGTAGAAGCGTGGGTCCCAAATGTGGTGCACTCCTCCTCCTCCTCCTCCTCCTTTTTCTCCCCCTCCTCCTCCTCCTCCTCCGCCTCCTCCTCCTCCTCGTCCTCCTTCTCCTCCCCCTCCTCCTCTTCCTCCTCCTCACAATGGTACGCCCAGAGGCACGAGATAATGCGACGCTTGCATCTGTCCAGACCTGCCGCCGGCTAACTGAACTGAGTTGAATTCCTCCCCAGCATTCCGCCGTCGTGCTTCTTTCGCAACGATGGTTTCCCGGAGGTCTGGACCCATTCGTTGCCCAGGACTGGCTTGCGGTCCCGAGTCGTTTTCTAGTGGTCCTGGGGCCCTGCGTGGGCCCCCAGAGGAAACGTGACAAAGCTTTCTCGGCGAGCGGACGTGGGGGTCCTCCTCCTCCTCCTCCTCCTCCTCCTCCTCCTCCTCCTCCTCCTCCCCTCATGACGAGGACCTTCCAGAAGAGATACAACGACTTCAAGACCTTCGACAAGGCGGGGCGCCAGCTCGACGCTGCTCCGGCCGCCTCCTCACCCCGACGGCCGGCCGCGCACGGCGCCGCCGACCGCCTTCCCGGAGGAAGGAGGAGGAGGAGGAGGAGGAGGAGGAGGAGGAGGAACCAGAGGAAGCGAGATCATCGAGGGACTTCGAAGAACCACCCACAGAGCAGAGCGCGTCAAGGGCATTTCGGTACCGTATATATGCTAAGCAATCCCAGCTTGGCTTGGCGGCGCTATCAGGCAAGAAGGCACAGCTGGACGTAAAGGAGACAGAGTTCAAGATTTCAGTCACGAAGTACATCATAGACATAATGCGTCCAGCAGCGGCCCGAGTTGAAGGCCACAGGAAGCACCACGAAGCCTTGAAGGAGCAGTACAGGTTGAAGGCCAAGCAGTCCAAGAAAATCAACGAAGAGATGGATGACCTACAGTACCAGATCGATAGGGCCCATGAGGCCTTGGTGGTTGCTATCCACGACAGGGACGGAGAGGAGGAAGAAGCTGAAGGAGAAATGGATGACGAGCAGGAGCACGAGTTGGAAGACGAAGTGATGCAAGCAGAACCCAGGCTGGGAAGGCACAGACAGATCCCACAGCGACGAATGTTCCCAGCAGGAGGAATGCCGCCAGCTAACTCAGGATATTGCCCACACGTCGCAGAGACACCACACAAAGATGGTCACATGGAACAGATCCAGCAGTTGATGCAGATGGTAGCCCAGCAGTCGGTTGAAAATGGCAAATTGCAAGCGCAGCTTCGAGATGTACAGGCTGAGTCACAAGCGGCAAAAGCATTCTACGAACAACAAGCCGTGTACCAGCAGTTCTACATCGACAGGATGACTGACCAGCAGGAAAAGATGAAGAGCCAGATGGCGGCGGAAGGTGCAGAGTCAGAAGCAGCAGTACCCCAACCTTCACCTTCAACGCCCACGGAGGACTACTTTGGCACGCAAGAGCGACAGCAGGTCATCGATCACAAGAAATGGCTGCAGCAGAGTGCGGCGGCGGCAGCCCATGCGCATGCAGCAGCAGCAGCAGTTGGACAACTGCCAATAGTCGACACGGGGGCAGCAGAGGTCGCAGCGCGACAGGCAGCATATCAAGCTCAGCAGCAAGCAGCCGCCATCGCCATGATACAACAGCAAGCGCAGCAAGCAGTACACCATGCAGTGCAACAAGCAGCCCAGCGAGCAGATCAACAAGACCCACTCAAAGACAGGGGAGACCGCAAGGAGGAGAATCCGCAAAGGGCCTCGTTACAAGGTGACACCGCGACCCAGCAGCCAGTGCCCGATGACAACCACGACTTAGAGGCCGAGAACTGGGACGAAGTGCAGGCCAAGCGAGTTGAGGAGCGCACCTTGTACGAGGCTCAAGAGGTGACCGACCAGATGGTACGTGCGGTCATCAAGGAGGAAGCCGAGGCCATGCTCGAAGAGAATAGTCAACGCACGCACGGGCATGATCATCGGCACGTACCTGCACCAGTGCATACGCCAGTGGCACCAGAGTCACCAGCAGCAGCTTGGGAGGTGGGTCCCCTCCTCAGTGCCCATGCAGATCAAGAGCAGTATGCAGCAGCCCTCAGGATGAGGAACCTGGACGAGTCATCCTCTATTCCAACGGAGCAGCCTTCGCCATGCTGCACACCCACGGAAGTGGCATCACCTACCCAACCTGGCAAGCAGGAAGAGATCAGTCCGACTGAACCGTTCACGCCGAGGGACCGCCGCACCGAGACTCGTTCCCCTTCAAGAAAAGGAGAAGAAGAAGGTAGGAGCCGCAACCAGCAGGGCACCCAGCACTACGACATCGCGCAAGGTGATAGCCCAGTTCGCCCTGGTCAACGTGGATCTTCCTTACCCCGATTTGGTTCGTTTCGAAGCTACGAGGAAGACAGCGGCAGCAGCGGAGGACCGCAGCCCAGGCAGATTGCCAGGAGGTCGATGCTGCCCTTCGGCAGGTCCGCTAACGCGGCGGCCATCAGGAGCAGCTCGGCCCGCTAAGCAGGTCCATTTTGGACCTACTGAATGCATGTATTATAATTCAAAAACTGGAAGCAGTATCTCGTACCTGCGTGAAGCATCACCCGCAGCTCTACGGCATGCCGAGAAGTCTCCAGTACAATGCCAGGGACGTGGCCGTCAAGACAGGCACCCAGCAGGCCTCAAATCTGCTGTACGACAGACCCCCCTAGCCTCTACGACGTCTTTACCGTCGGCATCGGCTCCCACCACGAGCTCTTCGGACGCTACTGGACGTGGAGCTGATGTACTAGCCGCGCCACACCCTCCTGAGTTTGGGTTTCCAGTTGAGGGTGCCAGATGTGCGCAGGTAGATTTAGGTCCCTTGTTCTCGGCAAGTCGCAGCTCGTCCCTGCCGCCGTCCTGGAACCCCCCATCGTGGCTCGACCAGGAGGAGAGGCGGCAGAAGCTCGAGAAGTACCAATCCCTCGAGTATGCAGAGCAGCGCACACTGTCTACCCCAGCCAGCGTCGGGCAAACCACGCAGGCCCTCGACACCAAGCAGACCAAGCTCATCACAGATGCTCGAGCGAGGTTTGTTAAGCAGGTAGAGGAGAGTACGCAATCGCAGTTTCACAAAGAGGACACGACACTGGCACTGACCCTAAAGTGCGAGGCACAGATCCCAGAACCAATCACCAAGCGCTTGGAGGGCAAGGACAAGTGGATCATCCTGCAGGAAATCCCAGAGGGTGCAGACGTCCACGAGTTCGCCCAAGCAGCCGTCACCTTGACCAAGTTTACCGAGGTGGACCCCACACACTATTTCATTTATACGGACGCCTCGGTACCGAAGATCAAGGAAGCATCCAGCTGGGCTTTGGCGCTTGTTTCACAGAGTGAAGAGAATTTCCATTTCCATGGACAGATTGGACACATTATCAAAGACAGTACCTCCCTGGACATCGACTACACTCTCCTGGACTCCACGCAGGCAGAACTGGTAGCTATTATTTGGGCGCTGTTGCTGGCGTACCAACTTGAGGACACCACAGACACTACCATTCTAACAGATTCGCAAGGAGCCATTGACATTATCACAAGAGCCACGTCCAGGGACGATCCCATTTCTATTCTAGCAATAAGCACATACGATACAGTGCGAAGAGCGAGGCATACTATGGTTGAACACGTGAAAGGTCATGTTGGACAACCTTGGAACGAACTTTGCGATTCTATTGCCAGGTACCACACAAAGAAGTACTTGACAACTGCTGATGTGGTCATCGACCTCGAAGTGGACTGCCCGCTCCCTATGGCCATCGTTGGTGAACTCAAGGTCACGAAACACATGCACTGGAGTTTTCTACGAGACACAAACTTTCAGGATGGTCGAGCATATCCCCCAGCAAACGGAGACGGACTGAGTTTTTCATACCAACTCATGCAGGCGGAGAAGGAAGTGGTTATCCGAAAGAACCCCTTACCTGTCAAGCCCGCTCCTACTGCTACTGAGCAACCAGCAAAGGTTACCCTCAAAGCCAAGACGACCCTGAACTTGAACCTTGCTACGTACAACGCACAGAGGACCATCGTAGACGACAAGGAACAGATGACCTTTGCGAACAGGGAGAGTCGATGCGCCGTTACGAAACACATCAAGCACCAACGAGGTCAGTTGATGCGACTCCAATTGCGAGATGAAGGGGTGCAGATTGCTGGAATCCAAGAGACCACTTTCACGGAGGAATATACTAGTGGAGATGGATATATGCAGTTCAACTCTCGACAGACCAGCTCCAAGCAGGAGAAGCTCGGGGTGTCATTATTGATCAGCTATGACGTGCCGTATGCCACCAGCCAGCAGAAGGAGCACTTCTTCGAGAAGAAACACATGCGGATTGTCCATCGGTCGGAAAGGCTACTAATCGCATGTATAAGAACACCCATAGTACACGAGACGATCCATGTATGGCATGTTCCACATCACGAAAAAGGGTCCAAGCATGCAGTACGAGTCAAATGGTGGAAGCAGCTCTGGCAACTCAGCCAGAAGTGGCCGCCAACTATTGTTTTCGCAGATGCAAATGCAACATTTTCGAGCATACCCTCCCCAGGAGTAGGGGGACTGGTCCACAAGGTCGAGGATAAGGATGATGACAATGCTGAACGTATCAGAGAATTTGCCAGTATTTACAAAGTGCACCTATTGAACACAATCATTGATCATCAGGAGAAAGCTACGTACACAACAGATGGAGGTCGTGAGAAACGTATCGACTACATCGCCACGAGCAAGCAGTATCTGCAAGGCACAACCAGCGTTGAAACCTTGCAGGACTTCGACACGGGCACCATCGCTCAAGATCATGCACCTGTCATAGCAAGAACGAGTCTACTGGTGGAGCCGCGGAGAAGTTCCACAAGCCAGAGAGCGATTGACAGGGTCAAGCTACAATATCGTCAACGACAACAGATTTTCTGCGACCAACTAAGTAATCTCCCATTGCACAGTTGGGAAACGGATGCCAACAAGCAGATGGAAGAAATAAATGGTGCTGTGGTCAGTATTGCAGGAGCGATTTTCAAGCCAGACACACTCACCCCACGGCAGCCATACATTACGCGGACAACGATGAAGTTGGTCAGGTATCGCAGGTTCGTCACGCGTGCGCTGAGGAGCGCCACGACCTTGTCGGATACCAAAGCTTGGGACAACCTGAAGAAGTACTCCGCGAAAGATGAACTTACCAAGGCCACCGAGCAAGACGCCTGGTTTAAAGAAGCCAGACAGTTTTACATGATCTTGGACCTAAATGACGATGACAGCGGAGGGGAGTTATCAACAGGAGCCCGATTATTCTTGTCAGACACCAAGCCAGTACTAACGAAGCTATTGCGACAGGACCGCGCAGCACACTTGGAAAAAATAGCCAACGAACTCCAAGGCAGCATCGCCAACCACGACAGCAAACAGGAAGGAGCAGCAACCAGAGCACTCCTACGCCATGGCGGGAGGATCCCGAC